TGGCACAGCAAGTGGCTGGGCAGGCCCCTGCATGGGTCTGATTATGTGACAAAAGCACTTCGTGCTCAAGAGAATCCTGTCTTGGAGGAATCACAACATCTGAGGCTGCAGAGCAGACTGGTAGAGGCCTGAGCAGGACCCTCCAGACGAGAAGAGGGATTTGAGCTTTTTCCGAGCTTACCCTGGCTGTAGGCTGGGGGGCAGGTGTGTGGGGGGTGAGGAGTGGTCACCAGGGCGGAGGTGCGGAGATCCCTCCAGAGGCTGAGTGAGTGGCTTGAGGTGATGTGGTTTGGGCCTAGGCTGAGTGGAGGCAGGACTGACCTGGGGGCATGCCTTGAGTTGGCTTTGTCGGGGATGAGGGCAGAGGTTAGCTGGGGTAGTCAAGGGCTGTGTTGGTGTTTTTGGCTGCAAGTCTCCTGATTCACTGGGTGGTGGAATGCCAAAAGACCAGATCTGGGGATGAGTTTGGGTTTGAAGTCTGAGTTGCTTTGGAAGTATCCAGGAACTGGCTGTAAGACCCCCATGGGTGGTGTGCCTGTTTCAGCCTCCTTTCCTCCTTCTCAAGCTGAGATGACAGGCAGTGAGTACAGTTGACTGGCCTCGTTGGTGTTCATTCTTCCTCTCAGGTGTGTTGGTGAGGGCAGAAGTGCCAGCGGGCGAGGACACTGACCAGGTGCTCAGAACTAGTAAGGTCTGACCAAGGATGGACTGGAAGCCTGGAAATCACAGAGTTTAGAAAACAGTCTGTTCTAAATTTCTTGCTGTAACATAATCCTCTGCAGCCCAGGACTCAGTAAATGAGGCCATCATGGGTGATTTTCAGTAGATCATTTTGAGGTCCCTAGGAACAGAATGCAGCATAGTTTTCCACCCTTGAGATGGCACTAAGATTCTTACCCACAGCCTAACCTAGCTGTGGGCTTTACCCTGTAGTGTGTCCCTTTTTACTCCCCTTCCTTTTCTTTTTCTCCTTTCTTTGTGCTGGGGGTTGAACCCAGAGACTCATACATGCCAAGCAAGTGCTCTCCCATGGAGCTGTACATATACCCCTACATGTTCTTTTTAATTTTCCCTTTTCCATAAATGGAAAAGAGGCCCAAGAGGTCCTTCTGTTTTTGTTTTTGTTTTTTTTTTCTTCTCTTAGTAAGGACACGCCCTGTGGCGGTGCTGCTGCACACGTCCAATAGGGGTATGAGGTCTTGTCTGAATGCCGGGGCCCCGCAGGTCTTTGGTGATGTCCACGTGCAGTCGAGTGCCTCTGAGGTCCCAGTGTTCACAAAGCTCCCTGCGTCTGCTGCCAGCCCCTCGGAGGTCAGTCTGTGGCTTGAGTTCTGACCTGTGGGGCTTGCCTGTGGGGCTAGTCCTGAGAAGCAGGTTTCATTGCTGGAATAGCAGTGTGATTTCAGCCGTTTCATGGGCCTGACTCCTGGAGGACTCTGACGCCTTCAGAAGCTGTTCACGAGTTGGATGGAGCCTCATGGAACCACTGGGAGATTACAACTTCTTTCTCCCTTAGACCTATTATTTATGGACAAACGCTCAGCAGAGTTACTTCCTCACCTTGTGTGTAGTTTTCCAATTTCCTTTATTTTTGCCCCTGTTACTGGGGATCAAACTAAGGACCTTGCACTTGCGAGACAAGCGAGGCACCACTGAGCTAAATCCCCAGCCCTTCTCTTTCCTTTTGAAGGGAGAAAATTTTTATTATAACAGGTGCACACTGAAGACTGAGTTTTATGTCTTGGTAATATGTGTAAGCTGAAATCAGAATTTTATTCTGCCTGGACGGGGTTTGTAACATTTGCAATCTTCTGCTTATTGCTTATTTTCACACCATGTGAGGCTCTAGTGATGTAGTTGATGGTGTGAATAACTTAAGCCCAGCACAGAGCATGTGTCTGTGAGAAGCGTGGTCTGTAAGTGCGTGACTGAGGCGTCTCAAGCCTCTGCATAACTCCGGGCGATCCTGAGCCGGTCCCCATAGTAATACCTTGATGGGCCCTGCGGCTGGATTTGCACTCAGGTGATCACAGCGGAAGCTGCTCTGGGAACATGGGTGTAGGTAGTGGGGTGAAGGATTTTAAGTGGTGTCCATTACCAGAGGTATTTCAAGACCCTTAAGGAGTGCTGGTTGGAATTGTTTGGTACTATTGGAAGTGCTGGACAAGGTATGCCAGCACTGACATGATGAATGACCAGTAGATTCTTTTGGTAGGAGTGGAGACTTGGGGAGAGAGGGGAACTGTGGCAGAACAGGCAGGGATTGGGAGAGGTCTCCAGACTGAGAAGTCAGAGGCTGTGGTTAAGCCTGTGGAGCAGTGTTTGTCCTTTAGGCTCCATGCCTGACTTGGCTCCTGGAGGTAGGAACGGCCGTGCTCCATCTTAAAGCTGGTGGGCGAGTTAGCAGGGGAATGCATGAACAGACTGTGTCGTAACGTTCCTGGGAACTTTGAGAGAGATGCATACCAAGTGTATTTTCCTCCAAAAGAAAATTTTTATTTGCATTTTCTACCAGTTGACCTTTTGAAGTAGATTATTGTAGTTAAATTCGTAGGTGATTTACAAGAATTTTAAGGACTTACAGGTCTATGGTTTTTAGAGTAGTAGGTGGGTTTCACTGTTGCTTCCTTTTTTTCAGACATGTTCACATGCTCATTTCTGCCCCCCTTGTTGGGTAGGTTAGATCTGCCTGGGGTTCTAGAATGCCTGTCAGAATCACCTTCTGAGTGAGTTTGCTAGGACTGCTGTAAGGAAGAACCCCAGACGGAACGACTTAAAGTGACAGAAATGTATCCTCCCACAGTTCTAGAGGCTGGAAGTGTGAACCCTGGGTGTTAGCAGGGCCACACACCTTTCGAAGCCCTTGGGAGAACCGTCCTTCCCTCGTCCAGCCTCCAGTGGCTGCCAGGGACCCTTGGCGTTCCCTCTCTCATCACGTCCGTCTCCGTCCCCATAGTCACGACATGACTTGCTCCTGTCTCTATCTTATAAGAAAGCCAGTCGCATTGGATTTAGAGGCCTCCACCCTCCAGTTAGACCTCATATTTCCAAGTCCTGGAGTAAGAAGTTGAGCTTCTTTTTGGGGGGTGTGTGCCTTTATCTGTTTGTACCTTCATAACAAAACATCACCGACTGGATATTTATAAAGAACAGAATTTTATTTTTTACAGTTCTGGTGGCTGGGAAGTCCAAGGTCACGGTGCCAGCAGGCTTGGTTGTTTAATGAGGGCTGATCGCTACTCTGGGGTTGGAAAAACTGTCTTTTTTAAAAAAATTTTTTTTCCCCCTTTGGTCCTGGGGATTGAACTCAGGACTTGCTTGCTCTTGTGAGGCAGGTGTGGCACCACTGAGCTAAATCCCGGCCCAGTTTTTTTTTATTTTAAATTTTGCAGTGCTGATCTGGAGCCCAGGGTCTCCCACATGCCGTACAAGTACCCTGTCACCAAGCTGCATCCCCAGCTCAAAGATGGATCTCTTACTATCACCACCTGGCCACTCAGTTTCATTACCCGAGTTTTGGAAGGGACACATCCAAACCATAGCTGGGGTGAGGGTGGGTGGAGGGACAGAATTTACCCCAGCTGGTGTTTCAGGCTGGAATGATGCTCTGAAGTCCTGGGGGCCCTTGTGACTCCATGGTGGAAGGCCCAGACAGTGCTGGAATGCTCTCACTTTCTGTGGGCTTGAACTTGGCTCTGCCTGGCTGCTGGGAGGCCAGGAAAAGCAGCCCCCATTCCAGACTGCCACACACCAGCTAAAGTTTGAGGTTTGTTGTCACAGGAGATGGAGGAGATTTTGAGAGCAGCCAATGGTTTCTGATACACATTCAAAATCTGGGGTGTAGGGGATGGTGAGTTATTTAATTTTTGTGCCACCGTACTGTAGCTTTTCTAATTGAAATACTTCTAGCATTTTTTGAGGAGCAAGAGGGTGTTTTTCCTATTATCACTATGTTAGATTGTAATGGTTTGTGGGATTTTATTTTCTGATGTTAAGTTGTATCAAATGGCTGCTAACTAGTGTAGAGGGTAGCAGGTTGTGGAAGATAGGACATTGCTGCTGCCAAGGACAGGATATTTACCGAGGAGGAAAGATAAGCGATTGTGAAAAGATCTTGGACAGTTCTTTTTAAGACACTGAAACTTTGCTAAATAAGAACATGTTTTTAAGAATGATGATTTACTGAGAGCGACAAGTTGTGATAGGTTGATTTGACACTCAGCAAGTGAGAACAGAAGGATCTCGAGTGCCCAGCCAGGGGCCTGGTAGACAGATGGGTGGAGCCAGGGCCTTCCTTCCACCTCTGCCACTGGTCTCGTGCTCCCTCCTGATTTCTGGCCGAAATCGACTCCTGCAGTCCAACGAATGGCCTTCATCTTCACGCCTCGGCCTCTGGCGTGATGCTTGGCACATACGGGGATTGAGGAAATATTTATCACATCACTTCCTGGTGATTCCTGCATTTGCTGTTACACGAAAGCACAAGAGTAAAGATGTGTAGGGCTGACACGTGTTCAACTTTGGAACCCTATTTTTCCTTTAGGAAAGAATCAGTGTACTTACTGAGAAAGTTACAAAGACAGTTCCCTCTTGGCTATTAACTTTCTCTCTTTCTATACAAGTCTGTTAGTATAGAGCATGTTCTGACGTAAATCTTTCCTCCCTGACTGCCTCTCTTTTGTGTGCTGGCAATCAAGCCCACATGGTAGACAGCGCTTAACTGCTGAGCCAGCATCATGCAGCTCAAAGACCACACTTTATTTTATTTATTTAGTTTTTGGTACCGGGGATCGAACTTGAGACCTTACGCTTGCGAGGCAGGGGGTGGAACCACTGAGCTAAATTGCCGGCCCAAGACCACACTTTAAATACAGCAAGTAAAATGATCTGTTTTTATGCTGTATAGAGCTTTATATTACATGTTCCACCTAAGCAATGATTTCTGTTTTGCTTTAGTTTCTACAGTTTAAACAGTCTGTCTGGTTTTCCTTTTCCTTTAGAATTTCCTGTTACTCGATGAGATATCACAGCACAACCTTCAACTGCCAGCAGATGGCAAAACGATAGTGCATGTGCAAGATTTCACTGCTTTCTGGGATAAGGTAAGAAATCCTCCCTTGTAAAGTTATGGCCTCCAAGAGATAGTGGATGACACTGATTATTAATAATAAATTATAGAGATATTACTTATATAAAATGAGACTTGCTGATTTATTCAAAGTATGTTATAAAAATTCTCAAAATCAGGAGGAAGGTTTGCAATCCATAATACGTATAAAATCAGCCTAGAGTGTTTGATAAGTTGCTCTTCATCTCCTTTTCAAATTTTTGCTAGGGGTGGGGATGGGTTCCCCTTATCCTGGGCCTCTGGAGGGTGCCAGCCTGGGGCAGGGAGCAGGCAACAGGCCCTGTCAGCTCTGGATTTTTAAGTGAAGGGTGTCGCCATGCACGGAGTAGACAGGTAAAACAGTCAGGTCCACAGGGCTTTTCCCACACTCGGTTTGCTTAGGACATCTAGGCAAATGGCAGAACCCCAGGGTCACAGAGTGCGGGAGTGGCAGACTGCAGGTCCCCCTTTCTCTGCCACTCCGAGGGCTTCCTGATCTCGTGGCCCAGGCATGGAACTTCCGTTCTCAGTCTGGATTAGTCTGGGAAACAAAATAGAACAGGGAATTTCTTGCCGAGAATTTGTTTCCTAGGCGATAAAACAGCAGCAAAAGTGGAGGCAGCAGGGTGAGGCCACCTCGGGACTGGCAAGGGCAAGACAAGAAGCCACTTGTTCCCCCACCCCTAGGGCGCCAGGGAGCGTCTCTCTCAGGGCGTCTGCTGCCAGCAGGGGCTGAGGACGGGAGCCAGGGGCTGGCTGTCTTCCGGGAGCAGGGACTGCAGAAGCTGCTTGAGCGGACCGGAGGCCTGATCCCGGATCCGATCCGCTCTCCTGCCTGCCTCCCAGCGTCAGACCCCAGCGCTGTGTGTTGAACAAGAGATGGAGGAACCTCTCTGGGAGTGTGCTTTGCCGGGACGAGGGGAGGGGAAGCCAGGAGCCCAGTGCAGAGCCCTGCTCTTTCCCAGTCCCGGGAGCTTCGGGTCGTGTGCAGTCGGATGAGAGTCCTTAGCGGCAGGGCGCACACCCCGGGGGTTTGGAGAGAAGCCAAGGTAGAGGGAGGAGCATGCTGTGTGGGAGATGGGAGCCGCACTGGCTCTGTCACAGCCACACCGGAGAGCCACTCGGTACTGGGGAAAGGCTCCCCAGCCCAGATTTCAGGGATGATCTCACTCCAAGCTTTGCAGTTAATGGTCCGAGGGGACCTCCTTATCTCCCCAGGGGCAGGATTGCGCTCAGCATTGGGGACTGGTGCCTCACACTGTCCGCGCGAGGCTCAGACGGGACTTCTCCAAGCCTGCATCAGTGTGAGGGAGTCCCCCTCGTGCCATTGAGTGCTGCCCCCTTCCGGCCAGGAACCTCTCTGCCCTGGGGAGAAACGTGGCTGTGGTTGTTGCTGGCAGACAGGTCCTGTACAGTTGTCCACCCTGACGCAGGGCGTGCTGCCCTTCGAGGGTGCCAGACTGACTTTTAAAGGATTCTTTGTCTGGAGGTCAGCAGGTTGAATAGCCTTTGATTTCATGCTTGGTCATCTTTTTCTATGATGTGGAAGAAGACATCCCGCAGTGTGTTGTGCAGAATTCTGACATTTTACAAGAGTGCCTTACAAAATATTTTGGGGCCCAGAAAGTTTGTTAGATCCCCAGCCATGGGTAACAACTGGCAAAGACTCTCAGATGTACTGTGGGACGTACAGATGGGTGCTGTGACTATGGGAAGGAAGCCCCTTCAGATCCATCTCCAAATAGCAGCTTTTTAAACTTCACTTGCAGCAGTTAAACCATTTTCTGTCAGAAATGTGGATTTTTGAAAAAATTTTTGTGGTTTGCGATGGCTACTGTTAAGGTTCTATTCTCTCAATAAAACCACTGCACTCATTAACTTTCCCACCGACCCTCCCAAGTTAAAGCGGGAGAGGTTCCCGGCAGAAACATCATGCGGAAGAGCACGGGAGAGGAGAGCTGCTCACCTCAGGGCATCTGAAAACAACAGGAAGCAGAGGAAGAGCCAGAGGGGGGACCAGGGGCCAGATATATAAGATACCTATGACCTATAGCAGATACATAAGACACCTACACCTAGACCCGCCTCCCCCAGTAGGCCCCACCTCCTCAGAGCCCACTCAGCTGTGAACTCCTCCTAGATTCGCCAGTGATGAAGTTAGTGCTCTCCCCGTCCTGTCACCTCTTCAGGAGTCTTAATCCCGTCAAGGTGATGGTCAAGATTAAGCGGCATAAGCATTCTGCTCCTTACTTACGCTACCTGAATTTTGCTTAAAGAAGAGGTAATTTGAGGGACTTATTGTAATTGAGTGGGAAAAGCAAACCTCATTTTAGTTTATCGTGCTCTGCTAAATTCCTCTCCTCCTCACACTCTTCATCTCTCAGTCGAATGTGTAATATTTGGAAATTCTTTGTACAAGAGGTAAATTTGATTTGGTCTCTTAAAGAAAGAATTGAACTGAGAAACTGTAGAACAGTATTGTTGTGACATGAGCAATTACTGAGAATTTTCTTGAAATTTAGAATGGAATATCCCTTATCTGAAATGCTTAGGACTGGAAGTGTTTTGGATATTTTCAGATTTTGAAATATCTGCACGTACACACTGTGTATCTTGAGGGTGGGACCAAGGCCTAATACAGAAATCATTTGCATTTCATATACACCTCGCACACATAACCTAAAGATAATTTTTATACAATGAGGGTAGATGTGGAATTCTATACTTGCCATGTCAAAAAGTTTTAGATTTAGGATATTTTGATCAAGGAGCTGTATGACACATAATACATTGTATACAGCATATATAATGTATTTATATGCATATATACACATATAGTCTTAAATCTTTTTTTTTAAAATTGAATTTATTGGTACATTCTAGGTAGACAGTACAGTTACATTCATTACTGGGATCTTGTACCTTTACGTGCCAGGTCTTGGTTCTCATTTTTTCCCCTTGTCCCACCCTCCCTTCACCCTCCTCTCCCCTCCCCCCCTTCAAACACTTTAATTCCATTTTTACATTTTCTTGTATTTTTTTCCTTTTCCCTTATTCCCTCTTCCCTTTCCTTCTCACTGTCCCTACACCTTTGGTCCTTTTCTTCCTATTTGCTAAGTGTCCCATTAGGATCTTGAGTACTATTTTAGTTTTTCACACCAGAGATACTATTCGGTATTTGCATATGTGTGCCATATTTATTTCACTTAGAAGTATATCCTCAAAATGTACCCATTTAACTATGAATGAATCTACTTTCTCATTCTTTATGGCTGAGTATTACTCCACTTTATAGAAAAACCACATCTTCTTTAAGTCTTAAATCTTTTTATTTTAGGATTTAGAGATTTTCAGGAATGTGCTTCCTGGTATTACGAATGCTTTATCCCTACCCATCCCTTGTGTTGGACTGTGTGTTATGGTGCATGCCCCACGGTAATTGTAGAAGTACTGTATTGACCATCTTTAGCCAGGATAGGTAATGCACATCATAAACATAAAACTGAGACTTTATTTCTTTGATCTGCAATCCTATAGTGCACTTAATTTCTTTATTCCCCATTTTTATTGTTAAATTAGAGCTTTGGTTACAGCATTGACCATCATTTGAAATTCATTTGCTAAGAGTGGCTTCATGATGTACAGCGCCTTCTTACTTGCTGAGCTTTATTGAGATTCATTGTCAATCGAAAATAGAATCACCAGTGATGATTTCAGTGTTTATTAGTAGAGGGCTGGGCATGCCATATAGTTGTGCTGCCATCTTGTGGATATTAATGAGATAGATTACAACCAAGAGTCACAATGAAAACTTAGAAATGATTTACCCAGCAAACTGGATATTCTGTTAAGAATATTACAATACAGAGTTAGGATAAACCAAGGAACTTCCCTGTAAAGATGATTGCCTTGTGCTTTCTACTACTTAAAATCTCTGGGTGTCTAGAACTGTATTCCTGAAAGTCCCGTACAAGGGAATGGACTTTCCTTAAATATTAAAGTTAAAATTGCTTTAGACCCCACAAGGAAATGTGACTAGATAAAAAAGATACCAGGGCACAGTATCTTAAAATAGAACAAAGGAAGATGTGAGTTGTTTTCAGGTATCAGTGACTATTGCTTTAATTCCTGTACTTTAGAAGAAGTGACTTGTGTTATTTTAATAGACACGTTTTTGTAACCTTTAATTTGTAGACATTGGAAATCCCAACCCTCCGAGGCCTTTCCTTTACTGTCAGACCTGGAGAATTGTTAGCTGTGGTCGGTCCAGTGGGAGCAGGCAAGGTAAGTTTACAGAGCCTTTGGCAGCTTCATGCAGCACCACATCTCAGGTTAAATGCTTGGAGTTGAGCCCAAAGCTGTGTGAATTAAGTATATCTGGAATGGCATTTCTCAATGTATTCTAAGGCTCCTTAGTTTTGCAAGAAGATTGCATGACCAAAGGAATCTGGATGTTGTGAATTGGGTTTTTGTTGGTGCTTGAAGTTATGTAGTTGGGAGCTCCTGATCCAGAAGTTGGATATGGCAGTGAAGGAAATTATTTATGTGTTTGCTATTCGGGATGGAATGACTGAGGAAGCAGGGACTTCTTCTTGTCAGCATGAACTATAGATGCAACCCAGTACCTGGAGTTGTCCAGTGTTAAACATCTCTTCATATGACTTACCCAAGTCATATGCACATTTGGTAATAGTACAGTGGTACATGGTGCTGTTTGGGGCAGCACAGGAGCCAGACTCTGTGCTGGGCTCTGCGCTCCAGAACATTGAGGTTCTGGGGTAAGACAGAAGCACAAAGAGATGGTTTCATTTCTGTGCTGTAAGCATGCTGATTGTGGTATGCGCAAACACATCACATCTGCATGTTGCAAAAGACTTGAAGGAAACATGTCTGCACATTCGGTCTTGTGTGATCCTAAACCACAAAGTATGGAAATCCCAAAACTAGCTATGTAAATGGTAGGGTGATCACTTCCTTTTATATTTGCTCTCCAGAATTCCTTTAAATAAAAGTCTTCCCTTGTGCATTGGATGCATTATGTATGTATAGCTTTTCTGGTGAAGTCAAGGATACCTGGGTATGGTAACAGCTCCATTCAGTATTGGATATATGAAATCTGTATCCTGTGAGGCCTTGGTGTTACTACATTCTTTTTTTTCCTCATTGAGTTTATTGGTACATTTTAGGTATACAATACAGTTACATTCATCATTGGGATCTTGTACCTTTGCACGACAGGTCTTGGTTCTCATTTTTCCCCTTGACCCTGCCCTCCCTTCATCCCCTCCTCCCCTCCCCCTTTACAAACATTTTATACTACAGACATTCTTAATTACCTATATCAAACTTAATCACATATAGCATTCCCTTTGGGGGAGAACTTGTTTGGGCACTTTCTGTTTTGTTAATATTCTTTACTGAACAGTAGTGTTTACCTTGACCGATTTTTTTTAAATTGCAGCTTCTAGTGCTGTACCTCATCTTATTATTAGTATTATTTTTTGGTACCAGGGATTGAACCCAGGACCTTGTGCTTGCAAGGCAGGCAGCAGAACCACTGAGCTAAATCCCTGGCCCTCTCTTACTAGAAATGAGAGGCCTGGTGTCGTTCAGACTGCCAGACTGGGTCAGGCCCCAGTGTGCATTTGCCCTGCTCCGTGTGCTGACTCTGCATGTGTCCGCTCTCTTTCAGTCTTCACTGTTGAGTGCTGTGCTCGGGGAGCTGCCCCCGAGTCAGGGGCTGGTCACTGTGCAGGGGAAAATCGCCTATGTTTCCCAGCAGCCGTGGGTGTTTTCCGGAACCGTGAGGAGTAATATTTTATTTGGGAAGAAGTATGAAAAAGAACGATATGAAAAAGTAATAAAGGCTTGTGCTTTGAAAAAGGTGAGTGATGACACTTGACTTTCATAGACTTCAGTTTCCAGTAGTAGTATTGGTCGTTTAAACTACAAGTTTTTTTTTTTTTTGAGAGGCTGTTGAATGTTATGTAATACTCGAAGCTAGTCTTGTGGGAAAGCTCACTCGCACATTGCTTTAGCCCTGATGTGACAGTGACATTCATAGGATGCAATTTTGGGGAATTTATTTAGGTTTTGTGAAGTTCTGTTCGCTTTTCACTTGTTTCTAAAATGGGACAATTGCATAAACTTGCTAAGGTGTGGAGAACAGAGTACATATACCCATTGCCTGGTTTCAGTCGCAGTTACCTGGTGGCCAGTCTGTGTCACCTCCACCCCACCCACCCTGCCACATCTCACATGATTCTCCAGCAGATCCTAAAACTTTCGGGTTTCATTTATTTTTCATTATTTGTCTTTCAAAGAAATTCTTTAAAGAAACAAGAAAGGTCCTTGATACACCAGTTTTCTGTAGTCATTGTGTGTAGGTTTTTAAAGAGACTCCTTCAGTAACTTCGTCACCCATTGGTCTGTATCCGCCTCCAGATGAGATCTGTGCCTCTCACCGAGCTGATGGGGTTTTTTGATCTTTACCCCTCCCCCCACTGTTTTCAACTCATACTTTACTTTTTAAAGAAAATTAAAGGCTTCAAAATTTTTTCTTCTTACGGCATCATTTCATGAAGAGAAAAATTGTTTTCAGAAATGATATTTGAGTTTCACAGAAAATGGGAAGATGAACTGTTGTATTGAGTGTACGAATTTAAGTAAAATAAAATAGGTGGATGGTTGAAAAAATCGTGAACTTATCTGAAAGGAGGATGCAAGTTAGCGAAAGGACGAAAGGCAAACACTGATAAACCCTGTTAACCTATTTGGATTATGAAACTCGCAAATAATGGTGCTGAAGGGCTCTCCACGGGTCTGCTCAGTGTGGCCCAGACTTCCAGCTGTCCCTTTGTACCGTGAAAAAGGCTGGACATATTTCCAAAGGTGGGATGTCAAAGGCCCCTAGCCAGCTTTGTGAAGAAAGCATAATTTTGCCTGAACAATGGCTCAAATATCACAGATTGTATTGGTGAGCAGCATTTTATGATGATGTGGACAAAAAATATAATTGCTTATTTAATGGACTTTGATTGCCCTCTCCTAGGTTGTTGTGAATGAGAAATAGTGTGCTTTCATAAATGGCATCAAGTTAGTAATGATGAGCTAGATTAGTATTAAATGCTTTATTCACTGGATAAGAGAAGAGGGAAGCGAATGGAGAGCAATAACAATAGGACGCATTTATTCAGGCTGCCATGTGCTAATTAGTCCTCATCCTCCACATATATGTGCACACAAGGGTGTATGATTTTTCAGTCTCCTACCACAATTTCCCACTGATTTTTGGTTTTTATTTTTATTAGTACATGTCTGCATTACGTAACGATTATGTTTCTTCTGGAGAATTGGTACATGCACACAACACCTCTCCATTTCTTCATTCCCTTTTCCTCCCCTCCCTCTTGCCTCCCTCCCGCCTCTCCCTCCATCCGTCGATCCCCTTCCCACCTGAAAAAATCTTATCTTCCTACTTCTATTATCTTTTATTTTTCTCTTTATTTTGGGTTTCTCATATAAGAGAAACCATGTGGTATTTAAGCCTGTGTTTCTGACTTACTTCATTTAACGTTATGATCTCAAGGTCCAGCCATTTTCCTACAGATGTCTCAAGTTTGTCCTTTATGGCAGAGTAGTACTCCATTGTGTATAAACACCACATTTTCTGTTTCCATTCACCTGTTGATGGACACACAGGCTGCTTCCAAGATTTAGCTGTAATGAATTGTGCTGCTATCGACATGGTGTGCATGGATCACTGTAATGAAATGTTTTTAACTCTTTCGAGAAGATACCTAAAAGGGGAAGAGCTGGGTCAAATAGAATTTCTTTTTAGTTTTTTGAGGCGTCTCCATACTGATTTTCCTATTGTTTGTATCAGTTGATACTCCCGCTAACAATGTGGAACCCACTTCCCCTGCCTCATCAGCATTTGTTATTGGTTGATTTTTTTTTTTTTTTTTTTCTTTCTTGGTACCAGATCAAACTCA